GGTCATGCCCCATCGCCATGAAGGTCCCAAAGGCTTTATTCCCTCAGTGTTTACTCCATCTGAGCCATTATTATCAGCTCGACTTTGAGAAGGCAGCTCCTCCTCAGGCATACTTGAAGTGCTTTCGGATCTGAGTGGCTCAACTTCAAGGCCTATAGCTGAAAATGAAGTTTGCAGTATCTGACAATGTTTGATTCTGCCTAAAAGGTTTTGCTCAGAAGCGGACAGCCTATACCTTCGTTCTGTCTGTTCTTAGTCTGGAGGCTCTGCTGACAACAGTTCACTTTGACGACCCTGTTGACATCTGAAATACCAGCATCGCAGCAACACTCAAGCCGCCGAAGTACAGTACTACAGACTGACAGACACGTGCTGCTTTATTCTCCGAACTCTCATAATTATGTTTTCACAGACTCCACAAACACAAATCAAGAGCTGACTCATACATTGTCATCTGAAATGTACTTGCAAAATATAACGGAAACCTGCCTTTTCTTAAAAAATATTTTTAAATAGCTATTTGAACACAAAAAATTTTATGGTGTGTAGAAGAAAATCTGTATCGAGGGAGTTGTTTAATGTTTGCTTATTGTGTGTCACCAGAAACCTTGGATCGACTTTAGTCAGAGGTCATGGGTAATGTTAATTACATCCGTTACCATCAGTTCTTAGTCATTCACTTCTGATGAGAGTCTGAGAAATGGTCCACATGTCCTTGCTCCAGTTCCAGTTATAGTCCTTATTCCCCCACAGTTATTAGATGACATGAATTGCAAGGCTTTTGGAAGATTTGAATCTTCTGTATTTCCTGGGTATGTCATTTCTGTCTTGATTATTACTAGTCTGTTGTCCTTAACACCTTTGGTGCTGCCATAATTAATCAGTGACAAAGGAAACCAAACCAAACCTGTAGCGGTCAAGTCTATTCCAACTCATGACATGATGGCCCTGTAGGAGAGAGCAGAACTGCCCCACAGGGTCTCTGCCATCTTTCAGAAGCCAAGGGCCACATCCCATGCTCATGGACCAGCTGGTGGGTTCCAACCATCACATTTTAGGTTAGCAGCTGAATACTTAACCACGGGGGCACCAGAGTTGCTTGAGTAAGGAGTAACAGGGTTTATCTTAGCATTTCCATCCCTGTCTCTTTCCGTCTGTGTTAAGTAGTTTTTCTACCACGGAATAACATCTGCATGTCCTTCATAGCCTGATTATATGGATGAATTAACATATAAGATGTGATTGCTCAAGTACAATTGTGAAATTCTTTCTAACTTAGTTATACCATCTTAAAAATATGTTCCTTAAGAAAGCCGTAGCTTCAAAATAAAATATTTTGCTTATCATTAAGCTGTGTCCAGATAAATAGACCGTAAGTGCAATCTGAGATTTAGGTGGGGTTTTTTTTAATTTTGTAATTGAAGCATAGTGTGCTACAGGAGGATTAACGTAGTGACAGGAAGCACTCATAAAACTGGCTCACGCGAATCTACAAATGTAATTATGCTTCCTGTATTTGAGTCCCAAGTTATTTCCTTGTGAGTTTTCTCTGTGGATTAATCAACTGATATGATACCATATTTCAGTAGCTGTTAATAATAGAAGTATACATTTTATAAATGAATTCATTGGATATGCTATAAGTAAATTAAAATTCAGAATCAAAGGTATGTAAGTAAATAATGCTTCAAATACCAGAAACAATAGAACAATGACAGAATCTCATCAATAAGGCACTTAAAAATAGATTCTGGAGTGACCAGATTTTAGGATATTGGGTAGATGTTAGGGGAAAAACTATGTCTGTATGTGATAAACTAAAAGATGTCAAGTTATATATATATAACTTATTATATATATATATATATAATATATATATATTATATTTAGGTATACTTTGGATATCGCAGTTTTACTATTGCCAACAGAATAAAATGAACATTGCACTGACCTGGGTCCTACACATTTTTATTTCACAGCACACATAAAAGTTATGTTTTTTACTGTACTGTAGTCTATTATGTGTGCAATAGCCCCATGAACCATTTGAAATACAGGAATTACCAAAATGTGACCCAGAAACAGGAAGTGAGCACATGCATGGGGAAAATGGCTGATGCAACTCGAGTCGCCACAAACCTTCAATTTGTAGCAAACAGAGTATCTAAAATACAGTAAAGCAAAGCACAATATAATGAGGTAAACTTTTATGTCTTTTAGTTATATATACACAGAAACACATATAAACAAGAACACAAAAAATGTTCATGTTGTTATAAATATTTACATATACAAGGACTATTTCTGGAGGGATATAAAGGAAACCATTAGGAGTGTTTACCTCTGGGAGTGGGGCTGAGGGTGGGGCAGGGAGGTGGAGAGCTGGTGAAAGGGGGAAAAGTGATGTATTTTTCATTTTGTTTTCCTGCAGTGTTGATTGTGTCTTGCACCACGAGCATGTGCTGCTTCCAAAATGAAAGCAGATCCAAATACAAACTATAGTACACAACAACAACTAGCAAGAGAAAGCACTGACACGGCGAGATGTTAAGTTCTCACTGTCAGTCTTCGGGGAGTTTAAGGAAGTGGAAAATCACTTCGGTAATTCCACAAAGTGATCTGACATGACAGGCAATCAGAAGGATAGCTCAATAGCCATCACTAAAGAGGGAATTTGTGGGTCACTTGTTTAAAAAAAGAAAGAAAGAATATTTTACTATATTCTCAGCATGAACTGCATGGCAAATTTAACCAAGAAAGAGAAAGTATAAAGAAGCAGTCAAGGCCAAGTTCCAGCGCCTGCCAAGAGCCAGGCTTCTGAGCAGAAATGTAGAGGTTATCCAGCCAGCAAAGGCTTCACAACTCTTTACTATCTGCCTCACCGAACGCAGGGTAAGTTGGCCTTTCCTACGATGCCATGCTGATCCTTCATTGTAAAATCAGCATAAATTATATTATAAAAGCAGAGTATGAAATGTTTCAAAATATACGAAATGCTACCACCCATATTTGCTTAACTAGTAATCTGGGTAGAGTATAAATAAATATATGTAGAGGACTAAGTCCATGCCAAGCACCATTCCATGTACCTCCCTTGTATTGATTCATTTTATCCTCCCATGATAAAATGCTGTTATCACAACCTTATTTTTCAACAGGAAAACTAAAGCTCTAAGGGGTTTTATCATGTTTAAATTATCAGTAACTAATAAAATTAGTTACTCTAGAATATGAACAACTCAAAAATAAGTTAATAGCACATGATAGAAAAGTGAACCTACTTTTTTTCAAAATAGTCTTTTAAATCCATTTATTCTAAGGTTTGAAGAAATAATACTGATCTAAGTAAACATGAATAATTCTAATATGTTTAGGTATAGATTAAGAAACTAATGATTAACATATTTTAAATGTAAGATTTGCACATAAGTATATTTTACCAAATTCACTCCTCCTAGGCTGGTATGCAATATGAAGTAAAATTATTAAAGTGTTATTATTCCTCCCATTTTGTCACCTCAAAGTGACTAATATGATTGGAGTAACAGCAATATAAACTTCTACATAATGTTTTTAAAAAGAATTCTAGTTTTTAAAAAAAATTTAGCAGCGTATTTATTATGTATCATTTTCCTACTTATAAGTGGAAAAAACGTAGGCCAGGCAAGTGACAACCTCTGACCACAGGCAATTCATTAGGAGCAATGTACCTAGAATTCAGAAGTTATTGAATTATTCCTTTGCGGTTACACCACAAACCATGAAAAATGTGTGGTGTACCATATGAAATACATTAAATTTCACTGGTTTAAGTAGATTTCCTAAGCCATTAGGCATAGAGTAATCTAATTAGTTTACTAACTGTACATTGGCTACAATCATAATTATTAAAGACTAGAAGAAGAGATATATAGAACACACCAGTCTCTATTAAATTGGTTGAAATATTATTTGGCATTTTGTCTAATCCTCTTTCAAACCAGAACTCCCACACGAAAATGTCTAGAGTCGGTTATTTTCCTGTTTGGATTTATTGCCCTGACCGGATACAGGCTGCTTCTAGAAACAACCCCTGCAGCATGACAGTTTTATTGGTGATCAAAGTTCTTCACGTGAGTCAAAATGTGCATCCTTAATTGTCTGCCCATTTGATCTCAATGGAACCACAAAATCCACCATTTCCTCCCGGAAGCAGCTCTTCCATTTTCTGCAGATGGTCATCCCCCATCCCTGAATTCTTTCCAGGGCTGTTACAGCCCCCTTCAAGTTTCCTACAGGGTGGTTTTCTGATAACGCCCCATGTGAAACACGCCCCCTGTAAGTGTTTGCAAGATGCCAAATTAGGCTACACATTATAGATTACAATGAATGAATTACAATGGAATGAAATCATTCAGTTATTACAATAGTAATATAGCCATAGCTGTATTCATATTATTATTATTCATGTAACCTGGGTCTAGGATTTTCTGGTTTTGTTGTTGCTTTTGAAGCAATCTTGTCACACGTTTGATTGTTACTGAGCTGGTGTTTAATTCAAGTTTCAGGTCTTTTGCTCAAATTTGCATTAGATTGTATCTCCTTTACTCTGCCTTTCAGTCACTCGAAATGCAGTTTCTTTATATTTGATCTACCTGATATTTTAACACAGGCAGCTTGCTCTTTTAACTTTTTATCATCCTCATATCTGATAAACTTGTTTCCTGTGTTTTTATCCAAGTTATTCATCAAAAAGTTTGATTAGCTCAGGGACATCAATGGAGACTTTCTGCATGAAATTGCGGATCTCTGCAGGCAGACACAGGGCTATGTACATAAGGCAAACAAAAAGAGTTCAGCTGATGGTAAAATCCAGCAAGTGCAAGATTTTGGAACTAATGTTCGTGTGTGTGTGTGTGTGTGTGTAAAGTCAGATACTAAGATCACTTCACCAAAGTGTATTGGACGGTTGAGGCGGAGGTGGACTTGCATGGATAATAGGAAGGGAGGAAGGCACTGACCTGAACGAGCATCCAACTAAACTGGCAGAGATAGAGGTAATGGGCGACAGCAGCCATGGCCGAGCAGCTCTCATCAGGCAGTTGGGGACTTGCATAAGCAGATGCCAGAAAGACAATCTGTAGGAAACAAATATTTCTAGTTTCAAATCATGGTAAGATTGATAAACAATATATTTAAAAAAAAATCATTTTCCCATCTCCATCTGGGACTAAGTGATACAAAAGCGGGGAGTGGGGGGGTGGGGGCAGATAAAGTTGATTTGTTGCCCAAATCAACTAGTGGTCATTTACATGACGAGTGCTCATTTAAAAAATGGCAACACATGGGTTTTGATGTGTAATTAAGACAATGAATGCAATTATGCTGCATGATGCTTTGGGTCCCACATGGAAATATCAAAGTTAGCCTTGTTTTTATAATTGATAAAAATCCCATGAAACATATTTTGGCTAAGCAGATAAGAAAGGGAAACTAGAGTTGAAATAGCACTTAAGTTGAAGTCAAAGTTCCTGGGAGAAAAAGAGAGACCATTTATTTCTTGAGATTAGCATATTAAACAAAACAAGGAAAACAAATATTTAATTTCTTATCTTATGATTACCCTAATCCTTATATAACTTTAATTTACACCTAACACTTTGGCGCCTCCGCAGAGACACCGCCTTGGTCGCAGTCTTGGAAGCTGCACCTTCTTTCTTCACACTCCTGGTCTGGCTGACTCTGTTTTCCTTTCCTTCTCTTGCCTTTTAAGAATAATACTTAAAACCTTGTAAAATATTGTGCAGTTTAATTACATTGTTCAAGGGGGTTATTGTTAGTCGTTCCTTCTGGAATGTAAACGCTACAACAACAGGATCATTTACTGTCTTACAGAGGCAATCCAAAACTCCTAGTTCAGTGTCTGGCACAGGCACTCAGTAAATACGGGTTGAGTCAATAAAAACAGTAACACATTCTTGCTGCTTTTATCGTCCCCCCAAAGAAATTACTATTGTGATAAACTTCGTAGTAAAATGCTAAGTATCAAGGGAACATGGGAGCACTAATATTATACTAAAATATAGAAACAAGTAAACTCTTCTTTGATGACAAGGGTTAAAGTTTTGTGACTATATTTTGAGAGGCCAATGCAGTGCTCAGAATATCGAATGCTCAATAAAATTATCCTAAAAGAATTAATGGCTACATTGAAAACAGTGCAGAACAGTGTTGCACACCCCAAACTAACTGATCTATGCCTCAAACCCTTTATTTTTCCCTCGAGTGTCCGGTTGTGTATTGGATGAAGGTTTGCAGAGCAGATCCGCTTTCCATTCAACACTCATGTACATTTTGTTTCATGTCTTTGATTGGAATCTCTGCAGAGTAACCTCCCTTATCTCACTTCCTTCCTGTTTCTTGCTTTCCTTGCTCCTGCTTGCCGGCATTTTTTCCCTTGGATAAATGTCACTCTTTTGATCTGAGATGGTTGATTATTCTAAGGTGTGTAAGTTTCAGCAGAGCTAATATTCCCCCGAAAGACCTGTCTATCGTTTGCCTGAAAATTTAGCCATGGGAGTGAGTTCCTTTCCTGACCTGAAGGGGGAGTGAGGGTCACTGTCCCTGGGAAAACCCACTTTCCATTATTTTTTTAATTAACTCAATTTGATTTTTAAAAATATGTGGGGTGGAAAGGGGGAGCCAATTACATGAATCTATGTATAACCTCCTCCCTGGGGGATGGACAACAGAGAAGGGGACGAAGGGAGACATCAGACAGTGTAAGATATGACAAAATAATAATAATTTATGAATTATGAAGGGTTCATGAGGGAGGGGGAGTGGGGAGGGAAGGGGAAAACTGAGGAGCTGATATTAAGGGCTCAAGTGGAAGGCAAATGTTTTGAGAATGATGATGGCAGCAAATGTACGAATGTGCTTGACACAGTGGATGTATGTATGGATTGTGATAAGAATTGCAAGAGCCCACAATAAAATGATTTAAAAAAAAAACAATAAAGATCTCAAAAACAATTAAAAGGATCCCTTAAAATCTAATCAACAACATGTTTATCTTCCCAGGACACAATGCAAATAGCTTTTGAGTTAAACGTGCTTATCTTTTCCTAGATTTTAGCTTTTGTCACACTCTGAATTATAATACATTGTAGGCTATATGGAGCCCTGGTTATTTAGTGGTTGTGTGTTGGACTGTGATCCACAAGGTTGGCAGTTCAAAACCCTTAGCAGCTCCAAGGGAAAAAGAGTGGGCTTTCTACTCCCATAAACAGTTACAGGCTGGGAAGCCCACAGGGGGTCGCATCAGCATTGACTGCGAAGCATTGAATATAGGTCATATAATTAGCCTCTCCATCTTGCACAACTATTCAATGAATGCCTATGTGTTATGTATTGATACTATGTCTTAAAAGATGATGGAAACAGAACTACATGGTTCATAATAATCACTTAAAAATATATTTTGTTTTTCATTTATCAAGGTAGTATCTAGCTTTACAAAGTGTTTTAAAGTATTAACTGTATTTTCTAGCTTCTGTAGTATGTCTTTTTTTAAAATATCTTATGGTGGCTTTGGTAAAAGTTTATACAGCAAATTAAGTTGCTCTTTAATAATTTCCATATATTAAGTGAAATTGGTTACATTTTTCGTGTGTCAACAGTTTTCATAACATGCTCTCATTATTTCAATTCCAGTTGTTCCATTTTCATTCTCTTCATTTACCTGCCTTGCCCTTTCCCTTCTCATCTTTAGGATCAACGCTGACAGCTAGCTAGTCAGAAACTGACAAGGAGTGATAGGTGGAAGGACAACTGGCAGGAATCATAAGACTGATGAGGCGGAGACAGGTTTCCTCACACACCTCCCCAGCACAAAGACAGCTGAAAGGCAGAATAGAACACATCTCCTTATCAATGGGAGAGGCCAGAGAGATTGGAGATGAGATGGCCAGAGGAAAAGACACAGGATGTTTTTCACCACCACCAGCACAATGACAGAACAGACTCTTGAGTTTCAGCTCTGAGACCCCAGGAAGACTGGAGAACTAGGGTGCTATTGTATGCATGCCTGAAAGGAGGGGGGCAGCTACAGAGGACCAGACAATGGCAGGAGACCCACCTGAAAGCCAGCCTATGGTGGGCAATCTACCATTAGCAGAATAAGGTCCAGCTTTATGTTTGTCAGGCCTTGTAGACTAGCGACAGGCCTTTGGACTTCTTTTCCAAAGTCCTCCTTCACCCTTTTAAACTTACAGCTGGACCCACTCCCAGAGGTTAACTTTTCGCTAAATAACAACTTGACTTCTAAAGTAAGCAATAGCACTTTCTGTTGAAACCTTTTTTCTGAGTCTTGTCTGAATTTGTTCCGTTGCTTGAAATCTTTCTTGTGAGCAGAACAAGAATCGAGTTGTGGAGAGGCTTGAAACTCTGAGCCTCCTCCTGGTTAACAACTGTTTGATCACCTACAGAAGTCTTACAATAGCTCAGTATTCACCGGTGCTATTGCTTACTTTAGAAGTCAAGTTGTTATTTAGCGAAAAGTTAACCTCTGGGAGTGGGTCCAGCTGTAAGTTTAAAAGGGTGGCAGAGTAGTCGATTACATGTTGGTTTGCTAACGGGAAGATCAGAAGTGTGAATCTACCAGGGAAGATAGATGAGGCAGTTCCTACTGTCCCACAGTTATCAGGCTCCAAAGCACACTGGGATAGCTCCACTCTGTCCTCCAGGGTCTCGGAGAGTCTAAATCAACTCCACGGCAGTGCATGCGGTTTTTGAGTTTGTCTTGGCAGTATCTTCAGTCTCTACCACCCCAGTAAGTCTGGTCCTTAAAGAATTTTAGCTTTGTTAAACATTTCTCTCTCATTCTATTGGAAAACCCCAAGGGTGTGATACAGAAGCCCTGGCAGCACAGTGATTACCAATTGGGTTATTAACTGCAAGGTCAGCAGTTCAACATCACCAGCCAGCTCCGAGGAGAGACGAGGCATTCTACTCTCGCTAAGGGTTACAGTCTCAGAAACCCACAGGGCAGCTCTATCTTGTCCTACAGAGTCACCATGAGTCAGAATTGACTCAAGGGCAGTGAGTTTGTTTTTATGGGTTTTGTTTTTGAGGGTATAGAGGGCTACACCATAGGCAGCTAAATACAAGATTGACAGTTTGAACTCATTGGTCATCCTGAGAAAAGAAATGAGTCTGTCTACTCCTAAAAACCTGTACCTGTAGTCTCAGAAAACCAAAGGGCAATCTTTATACTCTGCCCTACAGGGCTGTTATGGGTCAGAATCAACTCCCTAGCCGTGGATTTGGTTTAGGGGTTTTGATACTGAGTCTGGTCAAAATAGTAGATGGCGGTAGCCAGGAACCATCTAATTCTGGGCACATGATATATGAGGCCATTGTTTCTTTGAACTGCTAATCTTACAATGTCTTCTTTGTGAGTCTCTGATTTCCTTCCTTTTGCTCCAAATGAGTAGAGACCAATCACTGGATCTTGGGTGTCCAATCATGAGCTGTAAGGACCCCAGGTGTTACTTAGCAGACTAGGATGTAGAGCATACACTTTATGAAATACATGTGCCACCTGACTCAGTTGTCTCAGAAGACTTTGGTCAGAGGTCCTCAAACTCAGCAAAACAACCCTATGAAGGCTTTCAACCTCAACATCAAGAAATCCTCGACCATGTCTACTCTTCCCAGATAAGAATCTCCCTTGTTCTCTTTTGGAAAACTCCCCATGCTCCAAGGAATGACATGGCATTATGGAATAACATTATGGAACAGTTTGCAGCATTGTGTGAATTACTGAACTGTGATACTGAGATACAAAGTGAGCACGTGCTGTCGGAAGTGTGGTGCCAATAAGCAGACTTATGGATGCAGTTGTCACAAACGTTTGATTTATCCGAAAACAAACAAAATAAACCTTAGCCCTATTACAGAATGTTTAGGGAGGTATTTTATTGTGCTTCTATTTCATCTTCTCTTTTCTTTGAAATGCCATTTTCTACTCTCCCAGAAGCCATTCTTGACCAGCCATTCATAAATACTATGACTAGACTTGCTCACCCAGTAAATAGCCAAATAAGCTTCCTATTATTACAAGTAATAGTAATAA